TTATGTGCCAGTACAAAGATATTCAGGGACTTGATTCTTTCATGGTAAAGGAAATCTGTTTTAAGGTGCCTTTGTGTCTTTGCCAGTGTTTCAGCAAACTCTAGCCTTTTAAAAACTATGTTTTTAAAATGTCATGGCAGTTAAGATAACCATAAGATAACAGTATTTCCAGTGATATGTACGGGGGCTCTTTTGTTAGGCATCTTACCCTTTAGCATAAACTTGTTGATATTTTTTCCTCAATGAACAAGGCTAAAAAGTATGATTTTGTGGAGGGTTCCAAAAGTAGAATTATCTTCCAGACTGCAGGAAAAAAAAAAAGAGAAAAAATCTTGCCAGATCCTAAATCATTATTTTTCTGCACTTTTTTTTTTGTGTCTATCTCAAAGGAATCAGTCACCTAATCTTCTAATCAAGATAATTCCCTTGTTATAAGTTAAAAGTGGAGATTAGACTCTTAAATTAAGAAAAATTAAAAGGAACTCCCAGTTAAGGGTCTAACTCACCCATATCTATTCCAATAGCACCCTACAAGTGTCTCAAACCTGTGAACAAGTATTACATGTTGGAAGAGAAAAACTGTTCCAGTGACACCTAATATTAATCACATCCATAAGTGTGTGCTGTCCATGCCACTCCTGTATGTAATGTGCAGGCTGCTGCTATCATTATTTATAGGAGAAGGAAGAAATAATGTTGAGGAGTTGTAGATGACAGAGTGTAATTGTTTTTCAGCCTTTATGGAAGTACTTGCCAACTTGATAATACTTGTCCTGGGCATCTTCATTGTATTTATGTATAGAGCAGGCGAGTGCTTTTACTCTGTGAAGAAAATGTAATTCTATTGACTTTGCCAAAATTGAATTAGTACCATATATAACTTGATTTCAAGCTTATAGGGGCTTTCACAGATATTGAATTTTTTTTTTTTTTTATCCCCAGAAATGTCTGTGCTGCTGGCCCAGGGAATACCAAATGAAGACAGGGTATGTGAATAAACTCTGCTGAGGCACAAACAGGCTATTTTGAGTATCCTGTCCTATAAGCTTGGATAGTGATTCAATGCAACTCACTCCCTTCAACCATGGAAAAAGGATGATAGGTGGATTATGACTTTATCCCATGGTAGGGAGGGTTTGAGAAAAATGATTTGTACCCTTTTGGATGGGCCTGAGCTGCTCAAGCAGCTGGATCCTGCCATGACTGTGCAATTCCACTGCAATTAAGACATCTAAATGTGGGCACCTTTGTGTGTGTGCTCAGTGTCAGAGCTCTCCTGACAGCAAGTCAGTATAATCTGTGGAGCCTAGAGAAGCATTCATCTCATGTGTGCTTTAGGGTGTGAGCTGAGCCTTACTCTGGGATCCCATTACTCTGCTGAAAAGTGGAACTCGTTCCAGTTACCTAAATAAAATATAAGCATGTGTTGACAAATCTGGTGTGCTAGGGTGGTAAGATATTGTCAGCCTCATGCAGATGTCTTAGAGGACCTGTGGGAAATCTCTGCCCTGCTGGAGGCCACTCAGTAAACCCAGCTCCTCTCAATGATAGCAGTCACACTGACTGCCATCTACATAGGTCCTGAAATATTCCTGACACCAATAAACCTACTGAAAAGATTCTGGTCTCCCTCATTCATTCACAAAAGTAGTTTGTCTATAAGGTACTGGTCACCACTTTAAAGGGATCCTATTTCAGTGTGTTCTCTGGAATTTGTGAGGAAATTATGTACTAACACAATTTTGGTCCTGTGGTAAGACATAACTTCTTTATGGATCTTTAGTACTCATAAATGCAGAGATTTTTTTTTTTTTTACATTTTTATTTATGAAAATTTGGAGCCAGATGGATACTTGTTTTAGCAAAAGTTCTTTAGAATTCTTAGATGGGACAATGGGAAAAGAGGTTGTGAACTCCTTTATAGTATGTTCTCTTGGTCTTAGAAATACTGAAGGTTGTGAGGTGTGGGGCTGTGGAAAGGCTGAGTGTTGTGATGTTTGCTTGTGGCTCAGCAGTGGCTGAAGTCTTTCTTCCTGTTACAGAAGTTAAACCAATGAAAATAATATTTGGCTTCTCCACACTATAATTTTTTCTGCATTGTACGGTGACTAAGGTCCACAGGCAATATTTACCGCTGTTTTTCAGGGCCCTGTGCCTTAGGCTCCCACTCATTCATAACAGCCTTCCTCTGCTCCATGGTAGTAACAATTGCTTTTACAATGACTGGAGGTAAGGAGGGTCACTATGGGAAAGATGTTGCAAATGTTCTGAGTTCCACCATTTCTAGAGAGGGTTTCTTGTCCTTCCAGTAGGAGTCTAAAGAAGTTACTTCACCTGGATTGATTGACTTCAACTTTGTCCTTCCTGACAGAGGTTTTAGTTTTTAAAGTCACCTTCCTTTTTAAAGGAAGATGCCTTTAACATGTTGTTTGCTATCTTATATTAAGAGCTCCTATGAAAAATGTGTCATTTTGGTTAAAATACTTTCTCCATGAATTAAAAAAAAAAAAAACCACCTGGGACTTGTTTTGTGGCTTATCCATAATCAATATTCATTTAATAGAGGCAGGCTTTAGCAATCATTCCAATAATACACTTTAATCAAACATAACTTTGATGTTGAAATAGTCAAATTGTCCAGAGAAATTTAGAGCAGAATCAGATCAAAGTCAAACTAACATGGGACCATTGGCAACATGATATACTCTCATTATAAACTGGTCATTAATGCCTGGTTAAATGATATATAGAGACTTAGAACATTTATCCAAAGAAATTGTTCTTTTTAAAGTCAATTAAATGATAGCTGGAAAAGAAAACAACGTGATTGCTGTTAAAACACTGGCTTATATTCATGAGATAATGGCCATATCATTCACACTGCCTGCCTGCCTGCCTGCCTGCCTGCCTGCCTGGTGAATTTCAGGTTTTTTTGTTTTATATATTTAGAAAACTCAACATGCCTTAAGGACACGATGAGATATTAACACAGAAACTTTTGCCGGTGGGTCCAAAGGCACAAATATTTATTATCACTAGAAATCAGAGAGGGTTTTCAATTTCTTATGCCTAAACCAGGTGTTGCCCAGTATTTGCACAGAATGCTTATCTGTAGAGTCACATCACAGCTGGATGCTTAATTTGTTATCCAGATGAATGAGCCTAAGCAGACCTCTTCAAGATTGTAAGCTTGGAATCAGCAGTAATAAGGAAAGAAAGAGCATGTATTTCATTTCCCTGATGTACAAAGAATCCATAAAAGCAGGGCCTTTTCTAGCAACAGGTTTGAAATAAAGATGAGGAGTTACCTGGTTGTCCTTGTTTCTCTAAAGGCAGGGGCCAGCTCAGACCTAGCCATTCTGAAACTTTGGTTCTGCAGCTGGTACCTACAACAGAGGCTTTTATGACAATGGGATCCATTTGAGGTCTAAGAAGAGAGATAAGTCACCTAACCAAGGGAGAAAATGCATTGTAGCCAACAAGTTGACCAAGCTGGTATGAAGTGCTTTAAGAAGGAGTAACAGGAGTGGGAGGTGATGACCACACTCAAGTGAGGTGGTTGGTGGTTGGCAAGTAGAAGATGCAGAGGGATATTGTCAAGACAGACCCTGCAAAGAGCAAAAGAGGACTTGAAAGGACCTTTTAGTGAATACACACAAATGAAGAAATACCTGCAGGACAGCATGGTGAGCAAAGCTCTTACCAGGAACAAACTGAAGGGTTTAGAGGTCTATGTGCACAGAGACGTGGTGAGGTAGCTCATACTCCTGGGGTGCTGCAATGGAGGGATACAGGATCTGCAGAGGGGCAGGCTAGCAAGGCAAGGAGAGAGACAGCATTTGTGAGAGGACAGCAGGACTGCATGCAGCTCTGCCTAGGAAAGGATGATGAGCCAGCCCAGCACTTACAGGAACAGGGTTAGCTGGTGGTGTTGCAGGGGGTGTCTCCTGCACACTGCCTTATCAGGAAGAAGTAGATGAAGCAGCTTTTTCAGAAAACTGAAAAAAGTGGACCTCAGGATCCTTAAAAGAGGGAACAAGCCAAAAAGCCAGACAATAAGCCCAGACTTCAGAATGGCATAATTTGGCTTCTTCAAGGATATACTTAGAATAATCCTACGGGAGATGGCCCAGGAGATAAAAGGGTTCAGGAGACTTGGTTGATATTGGAGGATTGCTTCATTCTAGTTCAAGAAGGCTCTCTTTCACTGCTACTGAGTGCATACTTTTTAATAGTAAGACCCTCCTTCAGGAATGTGGGGACCCAGAGGAAAGTTTGGAGCAAGAAAGACTTGCCTTTGGTAGAAAAAATCCAGGTTAGAGAATACTTAAGCAAACCAGACCTGCATAAATGGGGCCTGATAGGATTCATCCATGAGTACTGGGGAAGCTGCCAGATGTTTTTGAGAGACCACTGTCTATTATCTTTGAATGATAATGGTGACTGGGAGAGATGCCTGAGGACTGGAGGAAAGTAAATGTTCCTCCTATCTTCAAGAAGGGCAAGGAAGAAAGCCCAGGAAACGATAAGCTTAAACAATAAGTTTAAAATGCCTTAAAACCAAGGAAAAAGTCACTTGATATTTGGTACTGCGGTGGTGGGGTTTGTAAGACATGTTTCAAGCCTTGAAGGTTACAAAAGGAGGGATTATTCTGGGCATTACATGATTTCAGGCTGCAGCATCTTCTCTGAGTAAGGGCAGGCTTGTCACATAAAGCTTCCAGAGAACTTCAGCATGGAAAGAGACATGTTCATGGTTTTTGCCCAATGTCAAGAAACAGTGAAGAAAATTAGAAAGATGGTTGAAGTTTTAGTACTCTAATTTAATACTCTGAATGTCAATTTATATGTTCTTTAATGGGTGATTTGAAGTTCCTGTCCTTAAATATACCAGGAAATTATCAGGACAGGTAGGCTGAAAATGTTTGTGGCGTTAGTTTGTATGTCCAGTTGCAGAAATGTTTAACACTGTAGCACTTCTTTTATTGCCTATTTTCCAGGTATGCTCCAGGAAAGGAAGAGACAGAGAGTGAAGGAGGCAGAGGTGCCTGTTTACCATCCCCAGTTGCTTGCTGAGCTTTTCTTCATCTACAGATGATGAAGTAGTTTCTAAGAAAAAAATTATCTATTGTGCATTAATGTAGTTTTCAAGGAAAATCCCTTCTGAATCATCACAAATGTTCTGTAATAGTTATTAGAGGACCTATTTGCATCCATAAATAGTTTCTTTTATACTTAACTTCAAACCAAGTGTCTTTCCAGCTTGAATTAAAGTGTTGCTTTGTCAGACCATTTGTTGTTGCAGTAGCTGGTTGATTACAGATGTACATCTTTTTTTTTTTTTTTTTTTTTCTGGTCTTTTTAGAGGGCAAATCACTATGGTAACCACATTACAGAAAATTGCTTGTTCTCCTTAAAATACCCTTCAGAAAAAGGTCATTTGTTATTAACATTTTCTGACTAAATCCAAAATGTTAACAACATCAAGAATATTATCACTGTTTCTATACTTACATTATTTTTTTTCTTTACCATGCACCTATCAGTTAACTATCAAAATAGGATAAAATATTGAGACTCCAAAACAATTGTGAAGCTGTAGACTTTTGGATATGTTTGAAATAGCAAGATTCACTCACGTTGCTGTGTTTCAGCTGCTGGCGTGCATGGCTTTGTTCGATTGTTTTCAGTTCTCTGATTCCGAGAAAAATTCAGGCTGAAGTTACTCTTTCAGTCTCTGTGTGCTAGGATGGAAAGGAAGGGCAGGCAGGATTTGACTATTATGGACAGCTGTCTGTTGTTGATTTATGAAATAGTTGTTCTGGATATTCTAGATAGTCGTTCAAAAGCCCGGAAATGGCTGGTTAAAGGTTTCTACTCTCAGGATAAAATGTGTCCAGGGGGTGTTAGAAAAATCAGGTCTGGTTGTAAAATAGGGTCCGAGCATGTGAAGTGAGAACATACAAAGTTGTTCTCTTCCTGGCATATGCCGCTTGTGTTCTGCTTGATTGGACATGTTGTTTCTTTGCCATTTTACATTATCTACATTGCCTGCAAAGAATCTTCTCATTTGTATAGTTTTTTTTTGGTTTGCAGATAGCTATTTTCAGCTTTTATCTACGCTCAGTAAACATCAACAAAAAAAATCCCCTTTCTTGGAGTTCCATCATTTTGGAATTGACAAACAAGTTAAAAAGGCTGCCAAAAGAAAGCAGGAGTTGGAGGAAGTTAATTCACATTGATGTGTGCATGCCACTGATAGCAAGTTATGCCTATGACATTCTGACATTGCCTCTCAAAAAAGAGAAAGTGGAGTGAAAGACTAAGAGGATGTTCATTTAATTGGAAAGCCTACTGAGATCTGAGACAGCTGAGGCAAAGGATGCACCCTTTTTCTGCACAATGGCATTGGCTGAAGGTTGTATATACGGTGGCCTTATTAAAGTGACAAGGCAATTTAATTCTTTTGTGCACAATGATTCTACTTCATTGATTTACAATGGGAAGGATATAATTTTGCTAGTGTTGGCAAAAAGCTCAAATGTCAGGCTTTTCAAATTGCCATACTTGCCTTGTTCAGGATGAATAATGAATAAGTCACCTTTTGTCTACAGTTAAATATTCTTGAATAAATACAAAGAACATAAAAGACATAAATGATTGCCTGATTTATATTTAAAATAAAGATCAACATTGTGATAAATGGTTGAAAATGCTTAGTGTGAAGTAATATGACTATGCTGATCATTACATTATCAATTAAGGGGCAGCCCAGGTGTGGAGTGTTATAGAATGGATGCCAGAGAGAAACCCCCAGTGTGGAACATGCCAAACTTGTCTATCTGGAAAATGTGGGTGAAGGAGTGAAGAGACCCTTAGCTATGCAGGGGATCACGTGTTTTAAATTGGACCATTTCACATACTGAAACACCCGAGAGGAATCAAGGCTGTTGCTTCTTGCTTTGTAATTAGCAGGATGCACTGGTATCATTTCTGGAAACAGATATTGCTGTTTCATTTATTCCTGATTGTTTGAGTGGTCAGAGAAGGTTACTCATCATTTCTCAGTATCTGTCTTTAGTCAGAGAGGAACAGATCTTAAAAACCTGCTGAGTCAAAGGTTTATAGCTGGCAAAGTTGTCAACACCTCAGTAAAATCTGGAACAAGTTTGAAGACAAAGAGATGTAAAAATATACTGAATACTCTTCATCATGTGATTCCTAGACCATGAGCAGCAATGCTTGCCTCCATCTGCACAAACATGCAGGTTCCAGTTAATCTAAATTAATTGTGTTAACACTACACCTACTCCTGATCTGTTGCTCTTTTTCTTTTAGAAAGATTTCTTTGTCTTTATTTAATTTCTCAATGTCTTAAGATGATCAGAAAGATGGTGCTGGCCACAAGAGTGTGGCAAGATTCCTCAGCCTCATGCAGGGGCAGCATGTGCACTTCTCTTACTCTCCTCTGTGGCAACTTTGATTGTACCTTGTCCAACCAGGCTCTCCTGATCTCATAATCTCATTCTTCCACACTTTTCTTTGTTTAGTGTGTAAAAAATATTCTCCTTTTTATCCCTTGTCCCAAATCCCTGATCTTCAGAACTACCCTTACCTTCCATGTATATACATTCCCATTTCTTGTGTCCTATTGCATTTTCACTTTCATGGGATATGTTACAATGGAAAGTGGGAAAGAGCTATTTCACCCTCTTTCCTGCCCTTTTGCTCTAAAAGCCCAACAAAAACCAGTAGCTCAAAGAAAAGTGCTCCTGCCTTGCCCACTACCAGTGTATGTAGACACACAGTTTGTGGTAATTGGGAGTGGGGCTGTGGTGAGCCTCATCCCCATTGGGCACAGCTGTGAGAAGCAGGTGAGCAGCACTGACAGCGATGAGCCATGGAGTGCCCAGGGGCACTGACCAACCACCAAAGGGAGCAGAGGGCACACAGGTGCAATGCATCAACATGAGGGTATAAAAGATTGGGCTATAGAACAAGAAGAGCAGACTCTTGCTGCCTGCTGAAGTGGTGTGTTGTTGCTCTGTACAGACCTGAAGACCTCTGATGAGGTATGGTGTTTTTCTGTTTGGGTGAATGCTTAAAGCTTTCTGAAATTTTATGGTGATATTCTTTGTATTGTGGCTGTCTCAATTGTGATGTGCTGTGACAAGTGTGCTGCTTGTTTATCTCCACATGGGGTGACAGCAATGGCCAGTACTAGTCAGAAGGTGCCTTCTTCCACTCCATCCTGGAGTTTTAAACCAGATGTTGGCAGGGACTGGTTTGCCCCTTGCTGTTAAGAGTTCCTGTGGATGTTCTTCAGCCTCTCTACTGCAGGTTTCTCACTACTTGATAGTTTTCTGAAAGAGCTGGTGATTTGGTAGCTGCTGTGTAAAAGCTGAAGATGTTCCCTATTTTTCTAGTGTTTCCTGCTTTTTCTAAAATATTTTTGTTATTATAAATGTTATAAGTGTTCTAAGTTACACCATTTCTAGAGAGGGTGTTTGCGATTCCTGTAGTACCTGTTTCTGACATGGTTTTTAATTCCTAAGTCTGAGTAGTTTTAAAGTTATGTTAAACAACCCTTTTGCAGTGGGTAGCTTTTAGAAAAGAAAATCTAATTTCTTGTAATATAATCTGAAAAAATATATTGATAGGGATTTATAATTCTGAATTGGCTAGGTGTGTTTCTTTCTTTGCATTCACTCATTTACCATTGAATAGAAAGAAAGAAGCACATAGGAAGAACATGAACGTTGTATGCCACTTATAGAGGTTCTGAATGATTTTAAGCTATATATGGCTTAAAAATTTTTATTGGGCAAAAAATGCATCCTGTGTGTGCTTCCATTTACCCACGCTGTATGGAATAGCATAGCCTTGGCTGTGTCTTTTTGTTCAAAGTTGCTGCTACAGATTTAAATTACAGAGAAGTTGCTATACTTCTGGATCTGTGGAAACAAACTGCTTTATGATTTCTTTAGGTTCTGTGATAACAGTAGAATTAGAGGGGCTTTACTTGCAAAAGGAGTCTTGTATGAGTATGTGTGGTGAGCTCCAAGGGGCAATGAAGGTAGATTGGAAAGCACAGTGTGCAATGACATTCCTCTTGGATCCTGGGCAGAGTCAGTCAGTGCTTTATCTACAGCAGTTGCAACATCATTCTCCCACTAAGGCTGCATGGGCCAGCTTGTGCTCAAACCTTGCTTCCTCTGGTTGTGTTCCGGGTCCATCTGAGATCTTATGTTCTTCCTGAATGAGGAGATTTTGATAAATCTTTTTCACTCCTGTTTTTGGGTAACTTCAGCTTCACAATATGGCCATGAGACAGAGGAGCGAGCTGTTTTTTCTGCATAATAAAACATCAGACTCTTCATAGAAAACTTGTAAGAGACTGAAATAATGTGTCTGTGTTCACACACCTGTTAGTTATGATTAATAAGGACCCCATGGGATTGCTTTTCATTTTTTTTTTTGGCCACTTGCTATCACAAAAAGCAAATGTAAAATCCTGGACTTAGCTGATAGTGTAATCACAATAATACACATAGTTTGAATGCTACTCCTCTGCAGAGGCAGAATGGGCAGATGGGATGTGCACCTGCTTATACCAGTGAGGATCAAATGGGCACCAAATTTTCATTTTCACCCAAAATGAGTCTTACAGAGGGAAATTACTTCCAAATCAAGATCCATTAAGCAAGAGAATTCAGTATACAATGACAATTTCACAGAATCATATATTAGCTTTGGAAGTAACCTCAAAAGATCACCTGGTCCAACCTTTTGGTCTAGTAAAAAGGCTGATAGGAAAAATAGCATGTTTAGGATTCTTTAACTCCAAGTATTTGGCATGCATCCAGAAAATGTTGAAAAAAAAATGGACTATTTAAAATATTTGCTTTCCTAGCAATGCATTTCAGGACTTCTTTTCTAGGTTTGATTTACAAGAATTATACACAAAAGGATCTCTTTTAGTGCTGGGGACTATTAGTGCTGAGAGCCCAAATCTGAGCAAAGGAGTTTTGCCAATTGCATTAGTTTCTGCCATCCTCACCTCTCCCAGCTGTGTTCATTCACCATAAGAAATGTACTGTAAGCTGCTTTAAAAAAAATCCAAAAATTCCAAAAATTTTATAAGGTGGTTTATATTTCAAAAATAAAGACTGAAGTAACTAGGAATAAAAAGATGAATACTGGTTTTTACTCACTTAAGTTATTCTAGCATCTCTTTTTGTTTTGACATGGAACCAAGTTTCTTGAGTAGAAACTGAATGTTATATTTGTAA